GCATCACAGTTCGGACACCGGTTACATTTGGACTCTGTATCTCCGACATTGGTGACTTATTGTCCTCGACATTTTGATCTTGTTTGATGACATTTGGACTACCATATCGGTGACCTATCGGATTCTATCTCGGTGACTTTCGGTGTTGTCTACCTCCCCCAGCTCCTTCGTCTCTCCTCCCACCTTTCATCTGTGTATGCGTGTACCGGGCCTGAGCATCTTCCATGTATGGCTCAGGCCCCACCATCTCACGATTGTATGTGTGTGGAGTGATATCTGTGTGAGTCAGTCTATGTGAGTCAGTCCGTTATCAGACTTTCGCTGCATACATGCTCATCCTATATTGGTTGATCTTTGGTTCTGCCCCATACTCGTTGATATTCTCACGAGTATGTAACAGCTACCCTCCACATCCTCACTCACCTCGACTATCGAATCTGCCTTACCTTTGCCCCGATCGTCGTTGTCAAAAGCACGAGAAGTGCGCTGCTGCGCGATTGCTTCCTTGGTAGGTTCCAAGGTGGAATAGGGGATTCCCTCCCTATCACAAATAGATAAAATCTCTTCCTTGTTTCTCTTTCGTAAGTCCTTTCGAGCATCACGCAAAAAAACATCTTTGTTGTTGACCCAACTCGCTGGGCTGTCCACTGTCTTGTTCTGAATCTTCTTAGCCAAGACAACATTAGCTTCCTCCGTAACCCGTACTGACTCCTTCCTTGCCGACACGCCAGCAACATCATCCAATTTTGACTTAAGATTGGTTCCCCTTGTTTTGACCCCAGTTCCCAGTTTCGCCATCGCCTCCTTCAACCTTTCAACCTCTTCTTCAGATTCTTTCCAGGCATTCAACTCACGAAGTCGCATCTCCTTAAGGCGCTCTACTTCCAACCGATGTCGCTCTGCTATTCCTTTCAACTCCAAGTTCACCCGCCCGGTACCAGAAGAAGCCACCCTTGCTCTCACCCTTGCATCGGAGGCAGGAGTGACACCGATAGCGACACTCCCCCGCTTGTTCCCCAGCCGGAGTGCTTCCGACCTCCAAACCTCTGCGTTCGCCTCAGCAGCTTCGCACTGCCTTTGTAACGCAACAATAATTTCTTCAAGAGAGGCAAACCTCCGTTCACTAGCAGCCTTCGCTTTGGCCTCCTCAAGCCGAAGTCGAGACAACTCCTCAGCTTCATTGTTCGGCTTGGAGATTGTAGCGGACGTACTAGCGCCATGATGGCCATGACGGAGATGTTCAACTTCTGCCTTAAGACGCGCAATCTCCTCTTGAGATTTATCCTTCGTCTTCTCCGATCCATTCTGCTGACGGACGAGAGATTCAACTTGAGCCCTTATCTTCGCAATTTCCTCATTATCACTGACCTTCTTACCATTAACTGCTTCACACACCTTGTCCAACTTCCCAGCCATCTCCTTATGTAGCTCCTTATGAAGCTCTTCTCGCTCCCTTCGATCCCTCACACGTCGCTCTTCTTCTTCAGCGTCACGTTTCTTCCGTTCTTCCTCTTCACACCGAGCCCTTTTCTTCACTTTCTCAGCCTCATGCTTACCGTTTATCTTGCTAACGATTTCTTCCAAAGTACTCACTCTACGACCAAGTCCACTACCACCGTCGTTACACTGACCAGAATAATACGGAACTTGAACAGTCGTGCCGACGTTTGCAGCAGGCGGGAGAGTTGGCAGGGGTTGAGCCGGGACGATAGCATTATTAGTAGACACCTGCGACTCGTTAAGACGACGATCAGGCAACGGACAATATCTTGAGATATGTCCAGGTTGACCGCAGTTATAGCAAGTGCGAACACCTTGCACATTAGAATTGCCAACGAAAGTCATGGCACAACCGAAGTCACACAACAATAGTACAATCCCTATGTCGGTTCCCCCGTGAAATAAAGTATACGTATGACTCAAGGTCAACGGTACTTGAGGTCAATGCAACGACTCAGTGATCACCAAGCACGAGGGACAAAAAGACGCAATGCACAAAAAATTGACGAGAAAGACGACGCGAAGGGTAGGTAAGAGAAAAACACAAGGCAGTATTCCCGAACGCGACTTGATTACGAAAAATAAACGTGAAGCGCAAGAATGAAAACAAAGTTTCCATACGGCGTTGAGACCCGGCCGGTTTCGCCTAGCCGCCAACTAGGACTCATCAGGGGTCTGAGTCGGCTGAAGAATAACTGCCAAAGACCCTATATAAGAGTCATGGTCAATGAGAATGTAGCTCCTCCTATAATGCTACAAAGATCTTTTAGGCAAGGAGATCCCATTGCCCCGCTCCTCTTTGTAATTGTCATGGAAGCACTGGCAGCTCACATTCACCACCATAAAGATATAAAGCGCATCCAAGTTACATCCATACCAGAGGACGTCATTCTGGTATGTTCTCTCTTCGCTGATGACCTATCTCTCATGGTTGATGCCTCACATGAAAACCTAGAGGCGATACAACGGATTATGGACGTATTTTGTAAAATATCAGGTATGAGGATTAACTGGGAAAACAAAACCCTTGGATGGTGGATGCACTATCAAGGAGTAAGGCCTCCAGAGCGACCAACGATCAAATGGCTCCCGCTTGATTCGCCAGTTAGGGTTCTCGGGATTTCACTATCAGCCCTTGGCAAACCAACATCCAATAGCGAAGGGATTTTGAAACATGCACTCTCAAGACTCAAATTATGGAAAGATAAACACACCTCATTGATAGGAAGAACGCTAGCGATTAACAATGTGGTCCTCGCCTCTATTTGGTACAACTACGCTGTCTGGGCCCTTGATAACTTATCCATTAAAATCTTGCAGAGGCAGTTGGTAGCATATCTTTGGTGAGGTAATCATGAATCCAAAAATGTTATCAACAGAGTGGCATGACAATCATTAATTCAACCTAAATCCAAAGGCGGTCTGGGTATAATTGACCCCACCACCCAAGCGAAGGCACTTTCAATTCAATAGATAAAGCACCTACTATTCAATCCCCAAACCCCATGGAATAATCTGGCTTGTGAACAGATCACACGCCTCGCCCCTCCCACCCCAGATGAGGTTGACCCTCTAATGTGGTTGGAAAATCGCGCCTGGCCGATTCCAAGGGCGTCCCCATCAGAACCCCAAAATCTGGATTTATTTGATTGCCAAGCAACAAGGACTGACCTATCCAGGGACCCCTTCTGGACTGACCTGCTCAAAACGTGGAGGAAACTACCCATCCCAGATAGAGTAACACCGGAAAGATGAGAATAAGTATGCCAACAAACATTATTCAACAATGCACTCATCAGAGACTCTCATGGATGCACCTTAAACTGCACGGACTCTCCTTGGAAAGGATGGATTAGAAGAGGAATTATGCGCATCAGAGATATTTGGAATGTGGAGGACCAAGACTGGATTGACCTCTCGAACCTTAATGATAGATTAAGATACTGCCACCATCAGAAGGAAGCATTGGAACAGATAATTGATATAATCCCCTTAGATTGGGTTAGGATCTTGAGAAAAGGGCCTACCCTTATTCCTAATGATTGGGTCTCCATCCATGATCAACCAAGTGTGGTAGGAAAAATTAGTGAGCTACGCCCTAATGGTGATGTGTTAATGACAATTTACGAATTAAGGGAGGATGGATTCCTTAGATCCACTCCACATCAGAGCATGGGACTAATCCAAAAAGACAGACTATTCAGGATTAGGATATTAATGATCAAAGATAGGTGGCTGGCTTATAAACCAGATACTCCTATATCCCATCTCCCACTAGATCCTGTTAGTTGGTCTTGGTCGTCTAAGGTATATCTAGGACGTTCTCATACACGGACTCTTCATACGCTGTCAGTAAAATCCACATACAGGATGCTACGCCCGAAGATAAATTTAAAAGATAAAATATAAGAGCGATAGATGAGACACCTAAACGTGAGCAAAGAGGAATTACGTTAAGTCAAATGGTTTCATTCCATCAAATCCAAACCAGCTAAAATGACATCCCTTCAATGGCAGATCACTCACCGATGTTTGTCAACCAATGACTGGATCATTGACAGAACTACTATAGAACAAAGAGGAATAGCCCTTGCCTGGTGCAAGTTCTGCAAAACTGCCTTCCCGTCCAAATTGATTCCGGAAGCAATAGAACATATATTTTTACAGTGCCGAGGGGCAGTTTGGTTATGACGTTGGTGGGATAGGATCTGGAACGAGATTGAAACCTCCCTACCATGGTCATGGAACTGGAAAACTCTCCTCCTGGAAGCCTGGGCCCCATCATGTGAAGACAGCTTCACAACGAACCTATTCACGATCGGGAGAAGAGCTTTTTTCTGGGCCATATGGTCTCGCAGGTGCACATTTGAAATGGAAGATGCCCGTCTAGATGAGCCTGAGTTCACAGATTCCATCAAGCAACAAATCCAACTAGAGATTAACTCGAGATGGGAAACATTAAAAGAAAAACTTAAAACCTTGACACCAGAAAAGGAAATCAAACAACACATCAGAACGTTCAATCTAAACTGGCTTGGAGGGGAACAAGGTGGTAAAATTGGGCAGTTTAAATGGAATGGAGTGTGCAAGATAGCTCACGGTGAGCTCCCAAGGAATTACCACTTATATCTTAATGACTGGAGTAACATAGATCCCTCCATTCCCCTCAGCCCCCTTTCTGAGTTTCCTGATCCTTTTCCTCCACCAAAGCTGGCCTTAGTTCCTGGCTCATGGTATGTGTTTGAGTGATTACCTGTGTCCCAGCCTAGGTTTTATCTGTGGATCCCAGTCCCAGCTCACGATAAGCAGATGGGGAGTGTTAATACTCCTAGGTGTAATGGCATATATGGCGCCCGAATAGGGTGAAGAGGCATAACTATTGCCCAACATTCCCAGATCTGAAGGGCTGTTGGGCCCACTTTTCAGCTTCAATTCTGGTATATGTTCACTATTGATGATGTAAAAGGACGCTAGACCCGGTTTCCAGCAAGTGCAGCTCCCCACTAATGGAATGGAGTCATCTATCCATCTAGGGAAGTAGAGGGAGTGTCTGCTCTTATCAGCACGTCCTCTACTCCCCAACATAAATGCTTAAACCCGAAAAAAAAAAAAAAAAAAAAAAAAAAAAAAAAAAAAAAAAAAAAAAAAAAAAAAAA